AGCTTCTTTGACCATTTTGCTGCTGTGGATGCTCGCATTCCACGCCTTTGATGCATAATATTGTCAATCTGTATTAAAAGCAATCTTGGAGGTTGATGCATTGCTTGAAAAGCCTTTGAATCTGTTTCAATGGATTGCTTTATGGTCAATGCTTGTGTGATAGATTTGCTTTATGATTGCCAAATATGCACCTTTTAGTAAAATATTTTCAAAATGGATGTGACAACTAAATCAGATCAATCAATATTAAATGCCACCACGTTTGGAATAGCTTACTATGATGATCAACATGTTTTGATGATAATGGACAGTCAAGTGAACAATTTAAACACATTCATATCCAGATGAATTTGGATTCAAGATTAGAATACTTTAAATACTAAAAGTTGAAATGATTGCAAATGATAATTTATTACTAAAATAGTGTTTAGATATGATAGTTATTGCTTGCACGTCGGATAGATCAAGTTTAGTAGCATTCCAATGGTGTCATGCCAGTATTCCAATTACCATCCCCATCTTTGTTGCATACTGTTTCCCCAACCACCGCCCCAGTTACCCATACTACTACCCCAGCCGCCGTTCCACGCACTACTGCCCCAGCCACTATTACCCCACATATTATTACCATTGCCCCAGCCACCATAGCTACTAGGTGAACGACGCTCGAGCAATACTTGAGACTCGTTTGGTTGTGGGATCGATCTGGCTTGCAAAGTGTGGTCGGATTCTGGAACAGCGATTGCATTGACACTCGCGATGGCAGTGACTGCAGTTATAGTGATATCAATAAATTTCATGATTAAAGTTTAGATTAAGTAGTACGAGTAGTGAGAGTGATACTTGATTGATGCTAGAATAAGATGAGTAGTGAGTTGTATAGATTATGTGAATTTATACCGCTATTTATATATAATTATATATACACTATATACACTATATTATATTATACATGCTGTGTTCAACACAACACACACGAGTTGTAACTGTGGTATCAACACCAGCTTGATGTGATATGGTGATGAGCTGTGACGGTTGGTAACCTGTGTGAGCTTGCTACCACATATTAAAATAATTTGGCTTTACTTGAGCACAAGAACGTGTCGAGCAACGCGACATTATGGCAACCATCACACTGGATGGCATTATATCGGTCTAGTGAACACGGGTAAATACAATTGGCTGTTGGTAACTTGATTTGGTTTATAGTGCAACCAAGTGTAACATCAGTGTAATATAACACTTTAATACTGGCTTTAGCGATTGCTTGAAACTCAGTCAAAGTTTAAACTAGTAAGTATGAATACATTGATGTTTGAACCAAAAACTTGTTTATTCAAAAAATACGTGCATTGTTCATGAGCAAGTTAAATGACAAATATTCATTTTCTGATGCCATACCAGCAAACTATAGCAATGCACTTGTGTCATACAGTCTGATCTAAGCAAAAACAGGTAAATGTTCAGTTTCAATGAATCAAACGTTGCCCAAAATGAAAAACGACAGGTTAAAGGCTTTGAAAATAAGGCTATCAGTCTAACAGCGAAAACAATGACTAAAAAAATGCATGATAATGAAAGAAACAGTATTTTCATCCGACTCTTAGTGTTTGTATAAACGTGTTTAAACAAACGTGTTTGATCCATAGTATTTCAGTTGTGACATTAGTCCAGTGTTCTAGCAGCTGTTTTACACAATTCAAAGTAATAGTCAGCCGGATTCATCAGTTGATCACATCCAAACACCCACAACAGTGTTTATCGCAAATGATAATTTATTACTAAAATAAAGTTTAGATAAGATCGTTATTGCTTGCATATCGGATAGATCAAGTTTAGTAGCATTGTAATGGTGACATGCCAGTATTCCAATTACCACCAACTATTCCACGCCCGGTTACCCCACATAGTACCACCTCCCCAGGGATTGTTCCACATACTGTTGCTCCACATATTGTTACCCCACATTTGGTTATTCCAGCCACCGCCATAATTAGGTGAACGACGCTCGAGCACGGTCTGAGACTCGTTTGGTTGTGGGATCGATCTGGCTTGCAAAACGTGGTCAGATTCTGGAACAGCGATTGCATTGACACTCGCGATGGCAGTGACTGCAGTTATAGTGATATCAATAAATTTCATGTTGATTAAAGTTTAGATTAAGTAGTACGAGTAATTCGAATAGTAAGAGTGAGAGTGATACTGAGTAGTGAGTAGTGTGAGTGATACTCGAGTGATAGTTGAATGAGATGAGTAGTGAGTTGTATAGACTATGTGAATTTGCATTGCTATTTATATACAATTGGATGAACACAATACTAAACGTGTGTTGTGATAAACGACACATGTGAGCTGTGGCTGAGTGACATTGACACAAATTCGATGTGGATCGATACTGCGATGAACTGTGATGGTTGACGACTTGTGTGAGCTTGTTATCACACGTCCAAATAGATCGACTCGACTCGAACACAAAAACGTGTCGAGTAATACGGCACCATGATAATCAACACGCTTTGAATGCCGTTGTATTGGTTCAGTGAGCACAAGTAGAGATTGTGCAATACGGCACTATAGCACTGATCATGCTTTGAATGTCAGTCATACTGTAGTAATTGGATACAATTCACATGCACGAAACTAGTGTAGTAAGCATGTTACACCATATCAAATTTGTGATGATTAAACTCACAACTGGAGTCAGTCGATGATGACATACAGTCAACGTCGATCATTTGAGTTGATTGTATACAAACCATATGTGTATAGTTGTAATCAATTTGATTGACATTTATAATCGTGTTCATGTAAATGCAACACTATTTTGCAATGATTAAGTTGAATATTTGATATTATAAACAGAAATTGTTCACATTTGATGTGACCATTCATTACAATTCATTCAAAAGTGATTGTTTTAATACCATTTTAAATTTTATTACTGATACAACAGAGTATTTTTGAAGACTCGGTAAAAGTAGTGGGGATAATAATTGAGAAAGTGTGTTTTAACAACCGTTTACAAGGGGAAAAAGAGCACAATTGAAGTGTTCGCATCAAGACAGCGAAGGTGTATTTAGAAAAAGTAGTTCAAAACTGTAATTTGGAATGAACAAGATCGAGTCTACAGAGAAATTTTAAAAATGCTGTGGGTTAGGATTTACTTATGTAAAATCCATTAGCATTTTTGACAACTTCAACCAGAGCAACAGGGGAAGTCCAATTCTGGACATTGTTGTAATAGTCGATGATGTGTTTGGCACGGACCTCGGCAGCACGGGCACGTTGGATATCCAGACCACACATGACAAGGTATGAATCAGGAACAGCAGGAGGAAAGCGCAGATTAAACAGATCAGTGCGATCGCTTGCATCAGGAGCTTTGATAGAAACATACGGAGCAGGTTGATAGGTAGTTTCACCTGGAGAGGGAACATACATACGAACATTAACGGTTAGGACATTGGTGGTGTTTTGACTGGTACTGCTTTCCTGACGACTGACAATTCCAGGATCGTTGGGATCAACATCCACAACACTAATAGATCCCACATTACGCCTAACAAGATTGAGATCGATGTTAGTGTTGTCATTAGATTCTTCTTTGGAAACATCCGGGTTGATGGCAGCAGCAGCAACAGTGGGAGCCGCAACAGCAACAGTGGGAGCAGTAGTGGGAGCAGCATTATGTTGGTTCTTGATGGGAACGGCTGAAGGGATGCTTTTATGAATGACAGAAACAACGGGATGAATGGGTAGAGGAGCAGGAGCCAAAACAGCAGCAGTGGAAGCAAGAGAAGGAGCGTTTGGAACAAGTTGCAGCATAAGATTGTTGAACCACCAAGCAGCAGGATTGTTGGTAGCAACAGGAGATGGTGTAGGCGGACCTGTAGAGTTTGTAGGGGATTTACAGACTGGACTGAAATTGACCGAGTCAGTATTGGCTGCCGAGTAAGTATAACAGAAACGAGAGTTTGCAATGTTCATGGCACTACTAACAGGAATATTCCATGTAGTCAAGGCTTCACTAAGAGAAGTGTTGGGTTCATCATAAAGTTCAGCATTAGCAGGACACATAACTTGCCAACGCCACCACAGACGATCAACATTGGCGTGATGAATAAAGAATAAAGGATCGTTTGGAGATGCCATGCTGGTAAATGGAGCCGGGTTGTTGTTGGTGTCGACACATGAACCACCACCACTAGTGTGAATCAAAGCATGAGGAATAGCTTCAAGGTCGTGACGGAACGCGCCGTAAGTGGATGAGCGAGTGAGGATCGCATTGACGGCAGTTGGAGGATAAAGAGCGGACCAACTAGAGCATCGAGTAAGACATTTTGATGTGAATGGATAAGAGATTGGCCAAGACTTGGCAACACCACCACTGACACAATAGTCAGGAGCAACACCAGCACTTCCAAAGTAATTTGGAGATAAAATCAGAGATGAAGCAGGCGCACTGGCATCGAGAGTCCAATCCCAATATGGTACACTCATATTAGGATCTTTTGATACTTGACGAAGAGCCTCTTCATAGTAACGCAAATAAACACGATGCCATGGCAGAAATTGTGCCTAAAAAGCAAATTGTTAGCCAATGCACAGCCTGTTAAGCAAAAGGCGTTAAAGTGGCGTATTCGGTATACTCGACCGAATGTAGAATTCGAGTAGACTCGAATACAATGTTGCTCGAGATTGGGTAGTCGAGTACTACTCGATGAGGAATATTAATCGGATGAAAGGATTGCTTGAGAATGTGCACTGTTTAGAGGAATGCATCACTCAAGAGTATTCACTCAAGAGTATTTACTCGAAATAAACTACTTTGATACGACATCTTTACTTACAGTTCCATGAAATGCTCCAGAGTTACTCATATGACTTTCAACAAACTGATCCAAGTTCCAAGTTGCAGGCTCAGTTCCTCCACGAGCACGTAGTTTAAGTTGATTGACTGCTGTTAAATAGGCTTGTCGACTTGCTTCCGACAACTGACGAAACTCTGACCGCATATAAGTAGAAGAACATTGACCCAATACAAGACTAGCATACTGAGTGGTAATCAGTAGTAGAATGGCAGAGAATGAGGATGTAAGAATCATAGTAAACTAGTACTCGCTTATTGTATAATACTCTTGTGATGGTAGAAATTCTATGATCAGAAAGTGTTTTACAGGAAATCACTTGTCAGCTATAACACAATCTGACAAAGAATGAATTGTTGAAAAAACAGGGTTTTAGTGGATCGCCACCACTCATCAAAATCGTTGAAATTATCATTTTGAAACTATTTTGAAACGATTGAATTAATCTTGCTCAATCTTGGTTAATCTTGAATCAGTTCTAGTAAATACTTGTCCATCTCTTACTGAATGGTCGTATTTGCTAATTGCTGTCCTTTTCTTAATATATTCCATAAACCTCCTCCTTACTCGCCCTCAACCCACTTTTATTCTCGCGATTCTACAAGTTACCCGCATTCTCAACTACCTTGCACATCAATCTCCATGAATGCAAGTACTTTGATCTTGAATATTCGTATATTATCATTTACTGATGCTTTATATTCATAGCTTGCAAAAGACTTTCTCAAGTTCGTCGATGCTTCTCCCTCTCCTTTTCATGCGGTTGAATCCTGCATTGCTCGTCTTGTCAAGGCTGGTTTCACTGAACTAAAGGAAGGTGATGCATGGACTACTTCGACTGTCCTTGCAAACGGAAAGTATTTCTTTTCTAGAAACAAAAGTGCTATTATTGCCTTTTGTGTAGGCGGAAAGTACTCTCCAACATCCGGATTTTCCATCATTGGTGCTCATACTGACTCTCCTTGCCTCAAGATCAAGCCCAGGTCCAAGCGTGAGAAGGCCGGTTGCATTCAAGTCGGTGTAGAACTTTATGGTGGTGGATTATGGCATACTTGGTTTGATAGAGATTTGAGTGTTGCTGGACGAGTACTTGTTGCTACTAAAAATACTCAGGGCGTTGAATCCTTCACTCATGCTCTCGCCAAGATCGACAAACCTTTGTTGCGTATTCCTACTCTAGCTATTCATCTTGATCGCAGTGCCAACGATGGTTTCAATTTCAACAAGGAAGTTCAACTCACTCCCATTCTTGGCATTGCTCAAAAAATGTAATTTTATAATCTGTTTTAATCTGCCGATTGCCATGCTCAATTCCTCACTTGTACATTTTCTGTCTAGTCTCGAAAAAAAGGACGACACCAACGATGTTGGAACTCTTCATCATCCCATGCTTCTTAAAGAAGTCGCTACCAATCTTGGTGTTCAAGGTATGCTTTGTATTTTGTATTGGCTAATACTAATACTAATCTAACAATTCTGTTTTATATAGCCGAATCCATTCGCGATTTTGAACTCTGTCTTTATGACACTCAACCCTCGAGCATTGGTGGTGCCAACAATGAGTTTATTCATTCCGCTAGACTTGATAATCTGATGATGTCGTTCTGCGCTCTTACTGTAGGTTTTGGCTTTTCTTCACTCTGTATATTGCTGTTTTTGCTAAACCTGCTTGAATTTCCTAGGCTATTATTGAATCTGCCAACACTCTGGATCAAGACTCCAAAATCCGTGTTGTTGGTCTGTTTGATAACGAAGAAGTGGGCTCTCAAACTGCTCATGGTGCCAATTCCAATTTTATGCAAACCACTTTGCAGCGTCTTTCTGATATGGATATTGGTGGTAGTTCTCAGGTAACATTCAAATAATTCGAGGTTATATAGATTCAATTCTTGACCCAGTCATGGTTTATTTGTGATTTATCAAAAGGTTCTTGCTGGTGCCAGATATGAGCGATCCATGGTCAACTCGCTTCTGATCTCTGCAGATATGGCTCATGCTCTTCATCCCAACTACTTCGAAAAGCATGAAGACAACCATCGTCCTTTGATCAATTCTGGTGTTGTCATCAAGCAAAATGCCAACCAACGTTATGCAACAACAGCCATTTCAACCTTGGTTTTGCGCGAAGTGGCCAAACTTGCTGGAAAAGAAGGCTCTGGAGGTGTTGCATTGCAAGAATTCGTTGTACGAAATGACTCTCCCTGCGGAAGCACTATTGGTCCCATGTTGAGTGCCTCTCTTGGTGTTCGTACGGTTGATGTGGGTAATCCTCAATGGAGTATGCATTCTATTCGTGAAACATGTGGTGTGGAAGATGTCCAACATGCTGTAAACCTGTTCAAGGTAATTCATTCACTTGTCTATCAACTCTTGAATAATTTGCTAACCACAAGTATTTAGAGCTTCTTTGATCATTTTGCTGCTGTGGATGCTCGCATTCCACGTCTTTGATGCATAATATTGTCAATCTGTATTAAAAGCAATCTTGGTGGTTGATGCATTGCTTGAAAAGCCTTTGAATCTGTTTCAATGGATTGCTTTATGGTCAATGCTTGTGTGATAGATTTGCTTTATGATTGCCAAATATGCACTTTTTAGTAAAATATTTTCAAAATGGATGTGACAACTAAATCAGATCAATCAATATTAAATGCCACCACGTTTGGAATAGCTTACTATGATGATCAACATGTTTTGATGATAATGGACAGTCAAGTGAACAATTTAAACACATTCATATCCAGATGAATTTGGATTCAAGATTAGAATACTTTAAATACTAAAAGTTGAAATGATTGCAAATGATAATTTATTACTAAAATAGTGTTTAGATATGATAGTTATTGCTTGCACGTCGGATAGATCAAGTTTAGTAGCATTCCAATGGTGTCATGCCAGTATTCCAATTACCATCCCCATCTTTGTTGCATACTGTTTCCCCAACCACCGCCCCAGTTACCCATACTACTACCCCAGCCGCCGTTCCACGCACTACTGCCCCAGCCACTATTACCCCACATATTATTACCATTGCCCCAGCCACCATAGCTACTAGGTGAACGACGCTCGAGCAATACTTGAGACTCGTTTGGTTGTGGGATCGATCTGGCTTGCAAAGTGTGGTCGGATTCTGGAACAGCGATTGCATTGACACTCGCGATGGCAGTGACTGCAGTTATAGTGATATCAATAAATTTCATGATTAAAGTTTAGATTAAGTAGTACGAGTAGTGAGAGTGATACTTGATTGATGCTAGAATAAGATGAGTAGTGAGTTGTATAGATTATGTGAATTTATACCGCTATTTATATATAATTATATATACACTATATACACTATATTATATTATACATGCTGTGTTCAACACAACACACACGAGTTGTAACTGTGGTATCAACACCAGCTTGATGTGATATGGTGATGAGCTGTGACGGTTGGTAACCTGTGTGAGCTTGCTACCACATATTAAAATAATTTGGCTTTACTTGAACACAAGAACGTGTCGAGCAACGCGACATTATGGCAACCATCACACTGGATGGCATTATATCGGTCTAGTGAACACGGGTAAATACAATTGGCTGTTGGTAACTTGATTTGGTTTATAGTGCAACCAAGTGTAATATCAGTATAATATAACACTTTAATACTGGCTTTAGCGATTGCTTGAAACTCAGTCAAAGTTTAAACTAGTAAGTATGAATACATTGATGTTTGAACCAAAAACTTGTTTATTCAAAAAATACATGCATTGTTCATGAGCAAGTTAAATGACAAATATTCATTTTCTGATGCCATACCAGCAAACTATAGCAATGCACTTGTGTCATACAGTCTGATCTAAGCAAAAACAGGTAAATGTTCAGTTTCAATGAATCAAACGTTGCCCAAAATGAAAAACGACAGGTTGAAGGCTTTGAAAATAAGGCTATCAGTCTAACAGCGAAAACAATGACTAAAAAAATGCATGATAATGAAAGAAACAGTATTTTCATCCGACTCTTAGTGTTTGTATAAACTTGTTTAAACAAACGTGTTTGATCCATAGTATTTCAGTTGTGACATTAGTCCAGTGTTCTAGCAGCTGTTTTACACAATTCAAAGTAATAGTCAGCCGGATTCATCAATTGATCACATCCAAACACCCACAACAGTGTTTATCGCAAATGATAATTTATTACTAAAATAAAGTTTAGATAAGATCGTTATTGCTTGCATATCGGATAGATCAAGTTTAGTAGCATTGCAATGGTGACATGCCAGTATTCCAATTACCACCAACTATTCCACGCCCGGTTACCCCACATAGTACCACCTCCCCAGGGATTGTTCCACATACTGTTGCTCCACATATTGTTACCCCATATTTGGTTATTCCAGCCACC